ACACACACACACACACACACACACACACACACACACACACACACACAAAAAGGCAGTCAGCCGTCCTACCTCCAAGTAAGACCCTTGAGATAGGCCCATCATCATTTGTATCCCCAAGTCTGTCTTTATGTTTATTTTTAGGGGTTTTTGTTTGTTTGTTTGTTTGTTTGTTTGTTTTTGGACAGGGTCTCTCTATGTAATCCTAACTGTCCTAGAATTTACTTTGTAGACCAGGCTGGCCTCAAACTCACAGAGATCCTTCTATCTCTGTCTCCCAAGTGCTGGGGGAGGGGGGGGGCGATTAAAGTATGCGCCACCATGCTCCACATATCCACATACCTCCCAAAGCTCGGCTCACACAATACCGAGGTGTCCTCTCTCTGCCCCGTACCCTGAGAAGGACTGAGCTTACGGGAATCTGAGAACTGGGACAAGCTGCATCCTAGAGTTGGAACTAGGAAGCGTGCCGAAGACCGCTTCAGAGAAGAGAAAGACAAGGAAGACAGGCCAGAGGCAGAGGAAGAGAGCGCCGCACGGACAAACCCAACCCCAAAGAGAGGCCCTCAAAGCCCATGCACCTGGAGACATGGAGACAAAAGGGGCAAACAAACAGAGCAATCCGGGGGTGAGAAGGCAGAGGAAAGCAGCCCCGGTAACCACAGACACACAGGCCCACTCCTAAGGCTTGCTGGCTGCTGCGGCCTCGTGCCCCCCCCACACACACACCTCCCACCTCCCGAGCAGTTCCAGGGACCAAGCTGGAACTGACAACTCAGAGGGACGCCTTCTAGGAGCTGAACCATGGGCTGTGGCAGTACCAGCAGCTGAAGCCATGGGGGGGGGGGGCAGGAGAGCCTGGAGTGGAAGAGCAGGGCAGGGTGCCCCCAGGACAACCTCCCAGGAAGAGACGCTCCCCTGGCTCCTCCCGCGGCCTGCTCTGCTCTCCCTGACCCAGGGCACCGCTTTCAGGGACACACAGGAAGCTCCTGTGTTACCCCCAGGGAACACAGGCTCCAAGTGGACGCAGGAGACAGTCTGGGGAAGAAGACCTGAGGCCACAGGGGCACAGAGGGAGCTTTCGGCTCCTGGACGTGGGAATGGTTAACAGGCCAACTTCTGGCGTGAAGGCTCCGCCGGGTACCTCCAGGGAGGCCCCCTACCCACCCTCAAGTCTTCCTGTCTCCAGCCTACTTCCAGAGCGCTGTCTCTTAGGCCCCTCACTTGCCCTCAGGTCCAGACCCCCATGTGGTGCCTTCCTGCCTCCAGGCCTCTCCTAGCAGCTCTTTTCTTTCCTGTATCACTGCCATCTCCCGTCCTCTGTACCTGCTGGATGTGACGTCATTCTTGTCCCGACACGAGGGAGCCCCGGCCTGTGGCGGTGGGACAGGGGCCACCGTGGACACAGGCACACCAAGCACACCCAGCTCCAGGGCCCATTCCACTGGCTCAGGCTGGGACTCACCCCACTCAGCAAGCCCAGGAAAGCACAAGACAAACCTGAAGGACCCCTGCCGGCGGCGGCGGCGGCACCTTACCCATTCTGAGTCAGCGGAAGGGAGCACAGGGAATCTCCCTCCCTTTGCCACACTTTTCTTCCTGGTCCTCAACACTCACCCACAGTGCTGAAGCACAGACGCCCTACCCCCGCCCCCCACCAGTCCCTCAGACACTCTGGGGATGAGATGACTGGAGGAAGGACCAGCAGAGGGTAGGGCCCGGGGAAGGTTCTGGAACTAGAAACATGAGGGATGCAGGTAGGAGGCTGAGTCAAGGGATGTGGCTGACAGGCGTTTCAAGGTGGTCAGACACATAGCAGTCCTCACCAGGAAGGCCTGGAATGGAGTGGGGGGCGGGAGGTCCAGGCAGTGGAGGGAGGGAGTCCCGTGACTGGGAAACCCTGGGGGGTTCAGCAGGAGGGATGGAAAGTTGCCAAAAGGGCTAGGCGGGGCAGGGGAGGCTGCTTGGGGTCTGAGGCACCAGGGTGAAGAGTCAAATTTCCACACTCCTGGGCATGGCAGCTCACACTCACAACCCAGTACCTGGGAGGTAGAGGCAGGAGGATAAGGCATTTAAGGCCAGCCTGAGCTACATGAGCCCTTCTCTCAAGAAACTGGGAGTCAGGGAAAGAATCCTATGTGGAGTCACCCGAGGGGAAGAAGAGAGGCACTCGAGAATTCTGGTGCTGGCCTCCAGCTCTGAGGCCAGCCTGAGCTGCAGCCTGGTCCTCTGCACAATGGCAGCTTGGCCCTCATACGGCCAGAGCTGGAGCCCGGCGGGAAAGGGCGGCGGCGGCAGCGGCGGGGCGGGGGTTAGGCAGGGAAAATCTGTCCACACAGCTCTCAACAGTGTGGGGTCCGTCACCTCAACTCTGCCCGCCCCTGCCTTCATGCTGCCAAGGGACTCCTGGAGGCAGCAGGGGCCCGTTTATAGAGCCCTCCAACTGTGCCCTCTAAGAGACGACCCCAGTGTAGACCACAGCCCTACCGTCCCTCGATGACGGTGATGACGTCATTCATCTGGATGTGCAGCTTGTCCGGCTCCTCAAAGTCCTGAAGGGCCCGCATGTCAGTAGGCTGAGCCTGGGGGGCAGAAACGGGCCACTGTCCGGTCCAGGCTCGGCCTCCCACTACCCCCAGCCACTGTGGGCAGATCTGCCCCTCACCTCCAGCAGGAAGTCCCGAAGGGCCACAAACGTGGGTCTGTCCTCTGGCTTATGGGCCCAGCACTGGACCATGACGTTGTAGATGTCCTGGGGGCAGTCCTCAGGCCGGGGCAGGCGCTCTCCTTCCTTGTCAATCTTATGCAGGATCTGCCAGCCAGGGCAGTGCAGGGGGTAGGGGGTTAGGGGAGCAGAGCACTCACCTCTGCACTTTCTACCTGCCCCGACCTGACCTACAGCTCAAGATGCTGCCCGACATGCCCGTCCACCATGGCACAAGTTCTGGGGAGGCTCTGTCCCCAGAGTCTGGGGACCTTTATTTCCAGCCCCACCCCATGCTCCCACCCCCATATTCCTCTCCTGTGACATTCTCTCGGCAACCCTTGTCTTGGCTAAGCCCTCAGAAAAGAATCCGTTCCAACAAGGTCAGGCTGGGAACCGGGGAGGGCTTACTCCCCCACACCCCACGGAGAGCCCACCCCTGGTCCCCTCACCACCCCGGTCCCCTCACCACCCCGGTCCCCTCACCTGGCTGCCATTGAGGCCAATCCAGGGCTCCTGGCCATACGTGAACATCTCCCACAGTGTGACCCCAAACATCCAGGTGTCACTGGCATGAGAGAAGGTCCGTGTCTTCAGGCTCTCAGGGGCACACCTAACAAAAGATAAGGTTTTTGGGGACCCCTACCAGTTACCCCCTTTAGCTACCTCTGGCACCAGGAGACCCTATGATCTAAGCAAAGGATCAGCCCAACCAGGGCCCAAGGCAGGCCAGGTACCACCACACTAGTCACAGCCCTCAAGGGGCAGCACAACCATCCCTGTCTGCCGCCAGCTTGACCTAACACATCTACTGACCATTCTTGCCTGGCTACTCTCTCTCCATATGTTTGCAATTGAACAGTGAGTCCTCCAGGAAGCCTTTTAGTACCCTACCAAGTACCACGCCCTTTGGATCTCATGAGCAGTTACCCTAGTACCTTCCAGTATCCCCCTGGAGAGTTCCTTGATGGATGTGCAAACATGTAAGTACACAAGAAAGGCATCCCGGCCCAGAACAGGTAAGGGCAGGCCAGGGCAGACACAGTCCTGTGGTGGGAACCGGAGTCCCCACAAGTCTGGGGGTCTACTGAGACTGGGGTGGAGCCCAGGCCCTACAGGCCAGCAGCACCTGCCCCTCACCAGGCAAAGGGCACCTTGCGATGTTCTTGCATGACGTAGTGGTCATCGTTCTGGGGCAGAGCCCGCATTAGTCCGAAGTCCCCGATCTTGACCAGGTCACGGGTAGCCAACAGCAGGTTCCGAGCAGCTAGGTCCCGGTGAATGAAGCGCTTGGACTCCAGGTAGCCCATGCCCTCGGCCACCTGCACGGCGTAGCGGCTCAGAGTCCCCAAGAGGAAATGACCTTGGTGTTTCCGTAGTCGGTCCAACAGAGATCCCAGAGGTGCCAGTTCCGTCACCTGAGCTCAGCCACAGGACAGAGAATGAATGAATGTGTAGATCTCGACCCCTCTCTGAGAGCCAAGAGTTCCAGTCCTTTCTGGAGGTCTGCCATGGCCATACTCAACGCTCCTTCCTGACCTGTCTGCTGAGAGCCACGAGTTCCACAGCTTGCTAGGCCTGTCCCTCCAGCCATCCCAGGAACTTGGGACCCCCAAAGGGGCTCAGACTAGAAATTCCAAAGACCAACTCCAGTTAACAAGCACCAGAAAATCTAAAATGACAGTGCTGGGCAGGACCCTGGGGAACCCCTTGGCCACACGTGGTGGGAGAAGAGCATTCCTGGAGGCCCAGAACCTGCAAGTTGCTCTCTGACACACACACACCCCCCCCCGACACCCCCACCCCAAGCACTCACCATCTTCATGGGCGGTGTGAGCACCACACCGTACAGGCGAATGAGGTTCCGGTGGTCAAGTGTATGCATGGCATTGACCTCCCGGATGAAGTCGTCCATGGCCTCTGGCTGGCTCAGCACATCCGGCTTCAGGCACTTTACCGCCACGCTCACCTGCCGGCCGGAGCAGGAGGAACAGGGAGTTAGTTAGGCCTTCCACGGTCCCCAACAATGAGCTAACTGCCCCTCAGGGCAAAGATTCTTGTCTCAGACCTGTTCACCTGAGTGGGTGAACATGTCACCAGTTTACATACTCCGCTCCTGGCATGGGGACGGCAGCTGACTGGCCTCTAAAGGTCGTTAAATGCAGGCCTCCTCTTTCTAGGAAAATTCCCAAGTTAGCAGTGACAGTGAATCAAGAGAGATGCGCAGGCCGGGCGGTGGTGGCACACGCCTTTAATCCCAGCACTCGGGAGGCAGAGGCAGGCGGATCTCTGTGAGTTCGAGGCCAGCCTGGTCTACAGAGCGAGATCCAGGACAAGCACCAAAAGCTACACAGAGAAACCCTGTCTCAAAACACCCCCCCCCCCAAAAAAAAAGATGAGCAGTCTGGAGACAGCAGCAATTTGATTAACTAATGCATCCACAGAACTGCAGGTTGCCACAGCAGCCTCCCTGGGGAAAGGGGGTGTATCTTCAATGAACCACCCAAACACCTGAGAGGGGAGGGGAGGGGAGGGGGGGGGAGCAGCGCGAGGTTCTGCTTCAGTCCGCAGTCTGGGACCGCAGACCACCGGTTTCCCATTTTTTTCAGCGGCCAATCTTTCACCGTAAGCAAACTATTTTTAGACTTGAAAAAAGAAACCACCGTGCTTGGGTAAAAACCTGAACGTGGCTGGGCCGGGAGGTGAGTCAGCGGTCTCCTGCAGCAGGGGGGGGATGGGATGGGCCCCGAGCTCACCGTCCTCCCCGCAGGGGCATCCCACTCGCCCCTGCGCACCACGCCAAAGGAGCCGTCCCCCAGCTTCTCCAGGAGGCGCAGGTCCTTCTCACTGATGAGGCAGGTTAGGCTCTGCAGGGTCCCCTCCCCCGCCAGGCCGCCCGGGGTGGGCGAGGGCTTCCGGAAGGTGCTCTGCGACTGATGGGGCGGGAACTCGGCCTCCAGCCGCTTTCCACTGAACACCTGTTTGAAAGCAGCCAGGAGCCAGATGGAACTCAGGGCCCCAGGGGCACTGGGTCCCACCCCACTGGCCGGCCTCAGACGGCTCCTGGCCTGGCCGAGCTGCCCAGGAGCGGCCTGCAAGAGGCCCACGCTGCCTCCAGTGTATACCCACAGCTGAAGCCTCGGGGTAGGTGTCAAAAACAGATACCAAAACAGCTGGGGGCTGCAGGGGCCCTGACTGGCCTGTGAGGACAGACACAGCACAAAGCCCTCTAGGTACACCCCAACCCCCCACCCTCGGTCTCCAGCTCCTCCCCCACCCTCCCCTTCCCTTCCTGAACCTCTTATCCATCACAGAGTCTTGCCCCAGCACACAAAAAGAGGGTAGGAGCCCGAGGGGCCCTCCAAACACCTCCCTGTCCATTTTTAGCCCTGGCCCCTTCTCCGGGTTAACCATTTGGTGCTGTCTGTCTACTCTCTCTGGGGAGTCGGCTGCCCTTCATCCTGCCCTGGGGAGAAGATAATTTTAGTCTGAGGTTGAACCATGAGTGTGGTGTGTGTGGTGTGTGTGTGTGTGTGTGTGGTGCAGATGAAGCCAGTCTTTGCTGGAGAAGGGCCTGGGAAGACAGCTGGGCTTCTGGAGGGGTGCCTAGAGGCAGGGGCTAAGAAGGAAGGAAGACTAGAGGGTCTCTAAGGCCTATTTTTAAGAAGGAAGTGCCAAAGGTCAAGAGACAGGAAAAGGACCGTGAGCAGACCTGGCCATGGTAGTCTGGCCTGTCCACCTCTGCTGGGGCATCCAGAGCTCTAGCCCCAGGCTACACACTCTTCTTCTCACCTCCCTACGAGTTAGTCGGCCAGCCTTCCCTGCGTGTGCTAAGGGGCAACTCGAATCTGAGGACCTTTCTGGACTCTGTTCCTTCTTCCCAGTAACCAGACTTCCTAATATTTGCTAATAACACTCAGCTTACAAGATCTACCTCGGCCACTGCAGCCAGGAGGGATCCTTCCCACAGCCCTGCAGGGTAAACTGTGTAATGAGGCCAGTACTGGTTTCCTGAAGACATGACCGTTTGGAGAGGGTCACTGATCACCCAGAGACCTACTAGGAATCGGGGACAGATCCAAAAATCCCACTGTTTTTCTCTTCTACCGTCAATCAGCCCGACACACTCATCCTTCACTAAAACCTGGGCAAAGGCCCAGGCCTGTGTCCCCAGAAAAGGCCACAGGCTCTCAAGAGACAGCCCCTTTGCCAAACTGCAGCCAGGAAATTTCTACTGCCCAATCCCTGACCGGCTGCTCTGTCTGTCCTGCTCACCCCCCACCCCAGTTCTGAGGCCAGGAGTGGGGCGGGAGGCCCCGGCTGCCCTGCTTCCTCTCTCATTGTCTTCCAGACAATGGGCAAAGTTCCACTGAGTCACACCAGGGACTCACAACACCGCAGACCTAAATTAGGATGGGTGGGGGAAGGAAGCTGTCAGCAGAACCAGATGACCAGAGGAACCTGGAGACCAGAGAACGTGGGGGACATGGGGCAGGCATGGCAGAGCCGAGATGTCCAGACTGTCCCGGCCACCCACCCTGGACGCTGGCCGGACTCGCAAAGGAAGGAGTGTTGTCAGTAAGTCCCCGCTCCCGCACACAGACAGGCTGTGAGACCCTCACTGCACACAGGCTCCTCACATGTCTGTCTGTGGCGCAGACAGACACTTAGCCAGGCAGCCCCACAGGGGCCCCGCCAGATAAAAGCCTGGAGGAGGGCGGGCTGGACAAAGTGCGAGGGAACTGGTGAGATTCTACCTGCTGGGGGACAGGAGAAGGTTCCTAGGCTGCCGGGCAGGGTGAAGCCTTTGGGGTGCCCCCTCCACTCCCACACAGCTTGCTCACACACCTTGCTCATCCACGACTTGCGTTTGCACACGGCCTTCCTCCTCTTCACGGCCTCCCACAGACGCCTCTGACCTGCAAGGAACGACAGTGAGCCGGGGCTGTCGGAGAACCCACACTCGCCCCCAGAGACTGCTGTCCGCCTGGCAGGCGGCTTCCTCCGTCCCTAGGGTAGGCCCACCACCAGATACCGCTCAACACCACACCACCAACCAGGAATTTCGTTCACCCAATCCATCTCTGCACTCTACTTCCAGAGGATTCTCCAACTGGGGGGAGGTATTTGTTCATCATGGTGGCCAATTACCTCTCCAACTCTCCAGACACATCAGGTAAAGAAATAGACAGAGTTTCCTCCACTCTAAGGCTTACCCCATAAAATCTCCTTGCGCTACTGACATGAGACCCTGAGCTGGCTGGTTTCATGTCCCCACGACACAAGCTAGAGTTATCAAAGGACCTCCATTGAGAAAATGCCTCCTGAAGCTGTAGGGGATTCGCTTAGTAAGTGATTGATGGTTGGAGGGGCACCCCTGGGCTGTGGTCCTGGGTTCTATGTGAAAGCAGCCTGAGCAAGCCATGGCGAACAAGCCAGTAAGCGGCACCATGGCCTCTGCGTCAGCTTCTGCCTCCAAGATCCTGTCCTGTGAGAGCTCCCGTCCTGACTTCCTTCAGTGATGAACAGTGATGTGGAAGCGGAAGCCTAATAAACCCCTTCCTCCACAAGCTGCTTTGGTCACGGTGTTTCTTCACGGCAATGGTAACACTAAGACAGAAATCAACTATCCAGGCCAAAAGTGGCTTAAGTTAGTGTCATTTTATTAGCTTATAAAACATTTGGCTATTTTGAGTCAAACACATTAAGGTTTCTTTCTTTCTTCCCCCCACATCCCCTCCACCCCGAGACAGGGTTTCTCTGTGTAGGTTTTGGTGCCTGCCCTGGATCTCGCTCTGTAGACCAGGCTGGCCTTGAACTCACAGAGACCCACCTGGCTCTGCCTCCTGAGTGCCGGGGATTAAAGATGTGCGCCACCACTGCCCGGCCTTACATTAAGGTTTTTGATTATGTTTTTTGAGACAGTCTAGAGTAGCCCAGGCTGGCTGAATTTGCTATGTAGTTGACGGCTGGGCTACTGACCCTCCTGCCTCCGCCTCCTGAGTGCTAGAATACTGGTGTTTGCCACTACACCCGTGTTAGCGGTGCCGGGAATTAAACCCAGTACCACTTCGCTCTCCAGCAAGTGAGTCCGCCGCAGCCCGAGGAGTCCCAATGTTCCACAGAGAACTCCAGGACTTCTAACTGGGCAACTGGTAGTTTTAGATTAGAAAGAACGAAAGATAAAGTTTCTGTGTGTTAGCAAGCCATCTGAGAGGTGTTCTTTAAAAGATTTTTTAAATTTAGGTATCGCGTGTGTCCGTGGCTATGTGTGTGCCTTGCGTGAGCGGGTGCCCATGGAGACCAGAAGAGGTGTCAGACCCCCCGAGCTGGTGTTACAGGCAGGGACAAGCTACCTGACTTTTCACAGCACACGCTTTCGAGCACGGAGCCACCTCTCCAGCCCCAGCTAAGAGCTCTTGTCTTACACCTTCCTCCCGGTAGATCTTGGCATGGACCCCACTGGTGTTCAGAATGAAACAGAGGAGACTCCATTCTACACTTAGAAAAGAGTCACAGGAAATACATCCCACGCGTATCTGATCACACACAACAGGGAAGGGCTGGGAAGCAGACCCGTCAGCAAAGGCCTGCAAACCCAGCTACCAGGGAGGCCGAGACAGGAGGAGCAGGTTCATGGTCTGCTGAGGCTACAGAACAGGTTCAAGGCTACCCTGGGTAACTTACTGAGATTCTGTCTCAAAAAAAACACAAAGTACAGAAAGGACTAGAGCTAAAGTTCAGTAGTGGAGCGCTTGTGAAAGGTCCTGGGTTCGACTCCCAGCACCTCTTTGAAAAAAAAAAAAAGGGGGGTGGGGAGGTAGGGAGTCTGGCGATGTGCTCACTGGCGGAGTGCCTGGGTAGCACAGGCAAGACTAAATTCAATACTCAGCCCTGGGGGGAAAGCCAGAGAAGGTGTATGGAATTAACCTGAGCGGTCATTCTCCTCTAATTCCAACTCACACACTGACAACTACAAACCATTCCCAGGGGACCCTGGGACCGGCACCTCTGCTGACACCTCCCACTCATCTCAGGGGCCATGACAAAGATATTCTTCCTGTGCTGGACCACGCTAAAGACACACAAGGCAAATGGCCAGAGGCTAAAACAAGGCCCACAGGCTACCTACCAGGCCGGCCCATGCCAATCTTTTCCAGATCTTCGTTCTTGACATACTCAAAGTGGGACAGGCGGGTGATGTTGAGGTCATCACGGAGCCTCAGGAAATACTGCTGTAGCTGCACCTCGGACAGCAGCTCCAACAGCCAGCCTGTCCCCTCCTCCGGCTGCATGCTGCTGCTCCCCAGCCTCTGTGGGAAAGGAAAAACAGCTGAGGGGCCAGGGGATGTGAGCCGACGGCAAGAGACCTGCACGTCGATGCCCTTGGTTCGCCCACGTTCGAGTGAACTCAGCACTTGCCCCCTAACCCAGCTGAGATGGGGCACTGAGAGGAGCCCCAGACCAGAGCAGTCAGGAAGCAAGCCTTCTTCCCAAATCTGTGCTCTCTGGTTGAGGGAACCGAGATCAACCTCTACGCTCAGAGACCTCGGGGAATCACAGGCCCTTTGAAACACAGGTTAACAGTATCAGCCATCTTACTCCTAAATTTTCATTTAAAAGTTGGGGTGGAGTACAGTGGCCCTTTGAGATCCGTCCACTGGACCCCTCATCAGACAGACCCCACAGAAAGATCTCAACCCAGTTCTCATTGCCTGACGTCACCAGGCCTTCGCCACTGATTCACGGGCAACATCCAGGTGCCTAAAGGGCCGTAAGAAGACGACAAGAGTGGGAGACGTGGACCGGAGAGGGTTTTCAGACACCCAGTAAACGGTACCAGATGTCTGAATTTGTATGACTTCCTATCCTCAAAAACATTTTTGGGATGGTAACGTTTGCACACGGTAAATAATCAAAATGCACAGGGGGCCTCGTTCCCTCTCTGGCTGCGCAGCTACCTAGCTGCCAGTCCCCAAAGCCAGCTCCCAGTCCCCAAAGCCAGCTGCCGATGTCTTCTTTGATTTTTCGACACAGGGTTTCTCTGTGTCACAGCTCTGGCTGTGCTGGAACTCGCTTCATAGACCAGGCTGACCTCGAACTCACAGAGATCCGCCTGCCTCTGTCTCCCGAGTGCTGGGATTAAAGGCGTGCGCCACCACTGCCTGGTGCCTCTATGTATCCTTTTAAGTGAAAATATCCACATGTTACCCATACTACTGTTTCTCATTTTTACTTAACAGTTCATCTTCTCGACTTTTAAATTTGAATGACACAGAACAGTACAACTTTGAAATATGTGTGAGTGCACACACAGTCTATAACATACTGGCAAAATAAAATGTACCTGCAGGCTACAAGCAGCCAATGCTGAGGGACCTGTCTGGTCTATACTCTCCTGGGTCCAGAGGAAAAGGCCAAGAGCACCTTCAAAGCTACATCGCCAAACCCATCCCTGTCCAAGGCACCTGACAGTGAAGAGCTCTCCCAGACCACTCTAGCCTCACCTCAGTTCCTGAGGAAGAAGATATGGAAAAGGCCAGCTTGTCTAGTGAGGGGCCAGGTGACCTGCTCCTGAACATGGCGCACTCTCAACACAGATGTGGTACGTGAAATGGGCCCAGCAAGAGCCTCCTGCCCCCACAGTTCCCCGGGGTCCTGCCGACAGAGTACCAGGAGCTCAGACTTTCCCTGCAGCTCAGGGCAGCAGGAAGAGGAACCAATGGGAAGGACAAGCCCTCAGTTCAAAGCCTGGCTCTTCCACCGAGGAGAAAGGCCAGGCAGCCAGCTGGGCGGGTGGGTGGCCTCCAAACTTGAAGCTGTAACCCTTTATTTGGACGGCTCTCTAAGGGCTGTACCCTCATATAGAGGATATTTTTGTTTGTCACGGTGGGGGGAGGGGGCTGGTGACATTTAGCAGGTAGTAAGGGGATAAGAGCATGAGTTATCTGCAACACACAGGACAGACCTGAACACGCAGATTCCACACAACTTAGGTCACACAGGTGAAAACCGTTAGGATGATCCAAACCTAGACACAGATTCCATTGTACATTTAAACATGAAAATGGTTTTGTAGTTTTAATGTGGCCTGATTTTCCTGGAACTGTGGGAACTGTTTACTGGGTAAACTGAGGAAACGTCTACTATTCGGAATATAGCAAAAATGCCCGCTATCTGGATAAAAAACAGTGAAGATTATCTCAAGATGTCTCTCAGCGGCTCTCCTGGGTTTGGGCCTCTTTGCCCCCTCCTAATTCATGACAGAATACGCAAAGTGTCACAAACGATGTCCCTCCTCTCTCTCCTCGTAGTACAGTTGGCACCATGTTTACCGACTCTACGTATATACCTAATATGTAACATTTCTATTGATTTTATTTGTGAAGGGAAACAAAAACAATATATTAATACTTCAAAACTATCGTTATGGGGCTGGAGAGATAGCTCAGTGGTTAAGAGCACTCATTGTTCTTCCAGAGGACCTGGGTTCAATTCCCAGCACCCACATGGCAGCTCAAACTCATCTGTTAACTCCAGTTCGAGGTTTTCTGACCCCCTCTTCTGGCCTCCTCTGGCACTGTGCACACACGATGCACAGACATACAATGCAGGCAAAACACCCATGTACATAAAATAATAACATACATAAAATAATAAAACGAAAAACCTAGTTACTATGGCAACTCTAAACATTGAGCCGCGCTGACTCCTTCATCCTCAGCCAAACCACCCTCTTGCAGACAAAGTGTGGCGAGGAAGCGGAGCTGCACCACGGCGTTCCAGTAAAGCCCAGAGGTGCAGTGAAGGATCACTGGACCCGGCGGGCTCCAATGTCCACTGCCTCGGCCCCGGAGCAAAGTGGCCCCGCTGGCTATGTGGCAGGGCCTCAAGATGAGGGGCAACAGGCCCCCGCCAGGAGAAACAGCCATGGGTCCTCCTCTCCTCCCACACCCTCAAACCCTGGGACTCCAGACCCCCCCATTCCCTTCTCTAGACTCCAGGTAACGGCTAGAGTCACACCCTGAACAGTCGGGAGGGCTCAGCGAAACTCAGGGGCCCTCCTGAAGCTACTTAGAAGGCACAGTCCAGCCTGTCCCCCTTCCTTGACAGACCAGCCAACACGCCTCTCTGCTCAGCAGGACACCCCCCTCCCTGGTCCCCAACCCAGGGACAGAGCAGCTGGGAGGAAGGGAGGGAGGGAGGGAGAGAGGGCATGACGCCTAGGAAGAACACTGGCATCCTGGCGAAGACAAAGGAGTCAGGTGGGGGGGTCTAGTCCCGCTTCTACTGCTGAGCCCAGTGTGACCTTCCCTAAGTCCCCTTCCTGCCCAAGTTCCTTTGTCCATGAAGCATGGGGCATTAGCGCAGTGACTCCCAGCTCAGACGGTCTCCAATTCTGTGTGTGGAGAATCTGCACCAGCTGTGCATGACACACGCCATGGCCTGCGTGTGCGCACGCACTAGACTGACTGACCACACACACACACACACACACACACACACACACACACACACACACACGCCCAAGACCGAAGGCAGCAGCACTTCAGCCTACACTCCCATCAAGCCTCCGCAAGGTGTCCCTCAGCCTTGCCTGCTCCTCGCGCCTCTCTGCACAGTGCTGCTCCTGGGGGGCTAACCATTCCCACAGCCAGTCCAACGCCCGCCCCCCAGCCCCCCACTCACTGTGTACAGACGTCGCCGAAGCCTGGCCAGGAGAGGAAAGGAGAGCTCGAGGCCGGGGAACCGACGGGCTGCCGGCATCTCCACCAACTGAAGCCCCTGAGCAAGTCGAGGGAGCTATGGCCTAGATGTGAAGTGGGCGGGCAAGGGCCTCCGCTTCGGAGTGTTCTGCTCTGCCCGGAAAGGAAACTGACTGGCCAGGCCGTGGGGGAACCTGTCCTAGAAATCCCCCAAACCCCACACAAGTGGGAAATGGGAAGAAGGATGGAGGGGTGGCTGCGCTCCGCAGCTGGTCGCAGGCAGGGTCCCCTGTCCTGCCTCCTCGCCTGTGCAGAGCTCAGAGCTCTAGTCCTACCCCTCGGCCTGCTTCCCCCACTGCCTGCTTGCCCGCCTGTCCTCCTTCTTCCCTCCCTCCCTGTCTCCCTCCCTCCCTCCCTCCCAGCTGAGCGGCTCTGACACTGGCTGAAAAAAGACCTTTCTGAATCCCTGCCAGGAGGACAGCAGGAATGGGGGGGGCACTCCCCCTCCTAGCATGGCCCCACTGACTCCCCACACACAAGGCTCCCCCGTCTCTGGCTTCCACTGCCAACCCTCACGGTTGCAGACCACTCCTGGGATTTCAACGTGGGGGCTCTTACCAAACCAGCACATATAAGAAGATGATACACGCCCCCAGAAGGGCTTTTCTGGGTCTATGGGGACCTGAATGTAGCCTGAATTGGGGGCTTGGATTCAGTCTTTCCTGGATCCTGCTGCAGACAGATCCTTCAAAGACACCCCCCCCCCACGTCCCAACCTTGGCTGGGTGTCTCCTGGCTCAGACCCTACTGTGGTCCTGTTACCCTGGTGCCCGACGGAAATAGGGAGGCCGGCAGCCGGCCAGAGCGGGACAGCCCAACCGAGAGAGGGGGGTGGTGAGAATCTCCACCCCTCCCTTGGGACTGAGTGCCTTGTGTACTGCCCACAACAACCAGGGTGCCTACTCCCCAGCTTAGCTGGCAAAGATCCAGCTAACGACAAATAAACAAACATGTCCCAAGCCCTCTACTGAGATACTCCTACCCCAAGGCTGTAGGAGCTCAGGCTGCAGGATATATCTTGTCCAGCAGCACCGCACACATATAACAGCCTCAGCTCAAGGGACCCGGAGGCACTCCATCAAGCACCCCGGGGGCCCCCATATTCCTACAGCTGACAGATGGTCCTTTTGCCCCTCAAGGGTGCCAGCTGCTCTACACCCCCTCGCCACAGCTCCCAGATACACCTGACAGCTGCAGGAAGTCCTCTTCTGCTCCCCAGATCCCAGCACGCCGCCCCCCCCCCCCCGGCATGTGTAAGGATCCCCTGTTTCTTGTACACTGCTCTCTTGTCCCTTCCCCAGCTGGCTGCCAGCTCAGGGAGCCACAGCTGGCTCACGGGAGAGGCAGCTGAGGGCAAGAGTTTGGGGAGTCAGCATCCCAGACGCTTTCCAGGATCTCTTCCAGTGTTTGAACTCCCTAGCTAGAAAGACAGCCATTTCCTATGTTTGTGGGGTTGGGGGGTGCCCCCAGCACTAGCCCTCCCCCACTGCAGTCAATCCTACAGAGATTGTGGATTGCCAGGCACAGCCTCTCTTCAGGCTTAGCAAATGATCAGGGTGAGAACTGAGGTCAGAGCTAACGTGCAAGGCAAGGTCAGGCTGAGGATACACGAACACTGCCTCTCTCCACAGGTTGGCTGACCACACCCTCAGACTGGAGAAGGCTACAGCCCATCCTTCCCCGTAAGATAACACCTGAAGCGGACCTGGGTCTGTCGGTAAATTAAACAGGTTTATTTCCTCTACCGCAAGCTGAGGCTGATCAGAATGGCCAATGTAAAAACTCTAGCCACCCCAGAAAGGCATGCCCCAAATCCACCAGAGCCCCATGCCTGACCCTTTCCTCGGGTGTCTAAGTAAGAACACTTGGCAGCTTACCCAGAATCCAGCTATGGGAGACTCGAAGAGGGGCAACGTACATACACTGCAGGGTCGGAAGCCAGATCAGTTCCTGGACCTCTTCTTCCTCGCCTGGGAAAACAGCCCTGACCTTTCTGTCTCAACTCCCAGGCACATTCCCCTTCTCCTGCCAGCTACTGCCCTCTCCCGGCTAGGAAAGAAAGTGCTTCATCTCCAAGGGGGAGGAAGCGGCCCCGCGAGAAACCGTGCCATTTCCCAAAGCACACAGGGATATCAGGATTGATACACATACTCAACGGGCCAATACACGGGACCGCCCAAAACACAGCTTCTTCCCATAAAAGAGCGTACCCCTAGGCTCCATACCCGCAATGCAGAGAGCCCAAAGGGTAGCTTATTTGGGCCTCTAGGGATCCATGCTCACTAAGTCAGATACCAACATCAATAATTCACCACCACCATCACCTCAGACATATCTGTCACACACACACACACACACACACACACACACACACACACACACACACACACACCTCTCTCTGCACCCAGCCTCCTAGCCCTAGGTATCTGGGAAGCGGAGGTGGAGACAGAGAGAAAAAAAAAAAAAAAGGACAGGAACCCTGGACTCTTCCGAAGCTCTTGCTGCAGAGCAGAGCTGGGCCCACAAATCACAAGCAGATGGGGCCTGAGCTCCAGGTATCTCGCCATCCCCGTTACCTGCGGTCCCTCCTCGCCCCCAGCCAGGCGCTGGTAAGCAGATCTCTCCCCCATTGGACCCCAAGTCCCACCGTTGGGGCAGGGAGGGAAGCGGTGCTCCGCGCAGTCCCCGCCCCTCCAGCGGCACGGGCGGCAGCGGCGGCGGCGGCTCCCGCAGCGTCACCCCCCTGCGTCCAGGGGGGGCGGGCCGCGAGCATCCTTCAGGAGGGGAGGGGCTGCTGAAGCGCCTCGGCAGGAAAGGCTCCAACCCTGGCACCTGCGTGAATTCCAAGGGCTCGGGTCCACAGCCAGCAGGTTGTCACAGCCTCCAGTTGGGCCTGTGGGCACCCCCCCTCCCCGCAGCCTCCTTCCCAGTTTCTATTCGTCTCTGTGTACAGTTGCCCCTCGGGCAGCTAACCAGCAAGCAGGGGCAGCCGCGACCCTTAGGGAGCCAGTGCAGAGGCTCCACCCTCTCTGACTTCAGAGCCACGGCTCCTCTGGCTCCTCTCAACTTCAGGACGCCTCCAGGACTCAAGTTCCCGAGCCACCCATCAGGATCTCGGGGATCCAAACACTCCGGTATTCAATAATAAGGGGGTCACCTAAGAAGCCACAGAAGCCTGTCTCCTACTTCACCGAGCCCTTCCCAGCAATCTCGGGGATTCAAACGTCTTCCACCCGCCTCTACGCCCAAGTCTACTCCACACCAAGAACGCTTGACGCCCACCAGCTGGGCACACCGACAAGTTCTAAACTCCCTAACCCACTCCTCATCCAGTCATGGAACTCACATCCCCGTCCATCTATCTGTCTGTTCATCCGCCTCCCCTCCCCACACCCCACACCCCACAGGCAGGCTGACTGCCCCAGACTCAGGCCATCCCACTGCCCTTAGCTCTCCCGGCACGCACAGGACCTGGGCACGCTAAGCAGACCAGTGCGCAGGGGCCAGACTTGTGACTTCAGAGTTGGAGAGCCAGAGCTGGGAAAGGTTGCTCTCTGAGCCCTGGGGTGAGGTTATAGCCAGCCAGCTAGGAAACGCCAGTTCTCCCTCCAGCCCAGGTCCCCAAGGTAACACACACGCGCTCGCACACGCATACACCCCCTCATTCCTATGGCATCTGAGGCATCCTCTGACTCCTTCCAACCATGTATTTAGAGCTCACAAGAGCTCAGGGCACTCTCCTCCTCCCTCCTTCCTAGGATGGGACAGAGAGAAGAGAGATGTTTAGATACCCCTGCAACCAGTCCCAAGGCCAAGGAAAGAGAGCCTAGGAGGGCATTTGTGAGTTCCCAGCAGGCTTGCTCCTCACACAGCCCATCTTAGAGCAGCTATGGCAGGGGGGGAATCTGCCAGGCCCCGGGTTCTCGTCTACGTGGAAGCTCCTTGGTATCTTACCATAGCGATGGCAGAAACTAGTCTTGGGAATGAAAAGCGGCAGCTCCAGGGGACGGAACAGCTACCAGAATCCAAAGTCAGCAGGCTGCTGACACAGCAAGGCTGAGTACACCTTGCCCATCCCTTTTCGCCCAGGCAGGCTGAATGCAGGTCTGATTCAAAACCATTCTCATCCCTGCTCTCCATCTCATCTCCCAACACTCTACTGTCCCGGGCTCCACAGAAGCCAAACACCTCTGAGGGCTGGGGAATCCAGTCCACACAGGCACCCTTACCTCGCTTCACTCTCCCTTTATATCGCCACACCACAACGAAAAGGAGCCAGCCCACCTGCCCAGCCTCTCCAATAGCACCAGGGAAATCACAAATCCACACTGAGAACCAGACGTGACAACCAACTTCCTGCCGAGAGGATTTTGGGGGTTTTTCCCCCCAAAAAAAAACCACCTACCAGATTCTTGGCTATATCTGCCAACCCCACAATGAAGCTTCCCCTCGCCCCTCTTCCTCTCCAGTAAGCACAGGAGGAATAATAACATATTGGGAAAGAAATGGAGGCTCACGGCTCCTCCCCTAGCCCCGGCCACGGGATTCTCTGGCCTCCCATATGAAACTCACCAGGTCAGATCTGCTCACCTCACCTCTATGTATGCAGGGCCCAAGCTTCTGGACCAAGGCCAGGCCGGTTCCCCTCAAGACCTCAGCCCGGAGGGGACTGTACCAAGCAACCCCACACCTTCAGGTCAGCGTGGTATGACATCACTGCTCCGAGGAGGCAGCTGGCCAGAGGCCAAGGAAGAGAAGGGAGTGATTCAGACACACACCACGACTGTCCACACCCTCTCCATCTCCAGGACAAGGGGCCCACTCACTCCCAAAGCGCTGGCCAGCTGAGGGCCTGCGGTTGGCCAGGCTGAGTGATTTTCCCTAAGGATATTGGGCCCACAGACCAAGGCTAGACTGAAACCTCTCCATCTTCCTTCTTTTCCTTTTTTTTTCCAAGACAGGGTTCCTCTGTGTAGCCCTGGCTGTCCTTGAACTCAGAGATCCACCTGCCTCTATCTCCCAAGTGCTGGGATTAAAGGCATGTGCCACCACCACCCAGCTCATCTTCCTTCTTTATTTTTTAAAAATATTTCACTTGAAATCTAATTAATGAAATAATGTTTAAAGGAAAATTACAGAATATTTTAAAGCATACACAGTATTAGGAGGTGCATTTCTAACTTTTAAGACAGACTGTCTTTATAATTACTTCATCCTTTTTGACTAACATTCATTCTCCCAACTCTTCACTGTATTTCTTTTATTGCTGTTATTTTTTAGAACCCACTAAATCCAATTAGCACTGCCCACATGCTCATGGGTCTGAGGCCATCCACAGAAGCATGGGCAACCAACCAGCGGCCACACCCCAGCGGAAAAAGACCCTCCCTCCCGATCAGCTGCTATTATTACTCTCCTTAACTGTATTTCTGAAGATCCGAGACCTCGCCCTTCCTTCTTTTCTAAGAATGACTAATTTCCTCATCCCTAGGTCCCACTGCCCCCTGCCTTCACTGCCAAGCGCCTGCACCTCCCAACTCCTCCGTCAGAATTAACACAGTACTTCCAGCAGGATGCTGCAGGCTACCGTGAGCGCGGCACGGCCCAACCGAGCGAGGCTCCACCCCTGCTAACTCCCGCTGGGCATGCCCACCACTCCTCCTGACAGCAGCAACTGCAAGACCTGCCCAGCATCCCAGGGGCAAGCAGCACAAACCAGCCCGGGGCCGGAAACCACACCCCCACCAGCAGCCATGACTCCTCCTTCCCCCAGGCCACCAACCAATCACACACTTCAGCCTCCTCAGCACCCCGCCCCCCCCCACCAAAGGGACCCCACATTGAAAAGTTCTCCTTTGTGATACTCAGTCTCTTCAACAAGATGAACCCCTACGTATCTTTAAGACCCCAATCAAATGCTGTCATTTCTCTACGTCCCAAATGGCTGCTCTACCAAGCCCCTTCGTTTTATTGAAGGAATGCATATCAATAAGAGAAGAAAAACATGTGAAAAGCCCAGAATATTTTTAAAAATGATCCATCATGGGTCTGGATAGATGGACGGCTCAGTGGTTAAAAGTGCTGGCTGCTCTTCCAAAGGACCATCGTCCAATTCCAAGCACCTACATGGTGCTTACAACTGCTTGTAACTCCAGTTCCAGGGGATCTGACGCCCTCTTCTGGTCTCTGTGGACACTGCACTCATGTGATGCACTGTGCAGAGATCTATGTGCAGGCAATTCACCCATGCACATAAAATAGTATCCACCATATTCCAGTCCTTACAGAGTTAGTATCTGTGTAACTCTTTGGTTAGTACACAATTCTCCCGAGATAGCCATTTGCACAGGCTTCTAATGCGGTTAGTACCTGGTAAAAATAGCCAGAATCCAGCAAGAGACATGGTCAAGAGAGCTAAAAAGGACGTTGGCCTTTGGACAGACAATGGAGAAAGATGGGCTCTTTCCCCACGAGCTGCTGCACCTGGCTGCCCAGTGGACACCGAGGACAAGTCTGGTCACCACCGCCCTCTCTCCCTGCCTTGGCTTTCCCTGTCCTCTCCTCCACACGATGTAGCCCTGGCTGGCCTTGAACTCTGCCTGTCTCAACCTTCTAAGCGCTGGGATTTACAGTGTGTTACCACCGAGCCCTGCTCCTCCTCCTCACCGTTTTCAATCCAGAGAAGAGAACTCCTTCATGGGAAGAGAGGCTGTCAGTCATTTCAATACTTCTGCCCTAGACCCACTGAACTACTTTGCTGCTAACATAACCATTTCAGACCCAAGGGCAACTCAGCCAGAAGAGTCTGAACCAGCCTTCACAGAAGAGTCTTCTTACCAGACTGCAGGGAAGCAGATTGGGGTTCAGAATGCCACGTGGTCAACCCTGTGGAAGCCTCTATCTATCAGGCATCTCAGTCTTACTGGGGGACTGGAAAGGGGAGAACATAAGAGTGTCAGGGGGAGACAGTAAGGTACGGAAGCATCAGACGTGGAAGCCCTCCCGTGGGGAACCCCCTCCAACTGAGGGGGAGAAGAATCTACATCCTCAGCATGCACTGCACACCCACCCACCGGTTGCTCTTGATTATGAAGTTAATGGGATGTGTGCTCCACCAGCTAAAGGGAAGCACATCAACCCTGCTGTCCACAGGTTTCCTAGATCCTATAGTGCTCCTACGGTCACTACCCTAGCAGTGTGTGACCAGGGAGATCCCTACAGCTGCCAGGCCCCAGTCCATATGTGACACACACACACACACCGCTGCCCCCAGGGCTTGGATACCAACCTGCAGACCTCTCACCCACTGTCCTGTCCAGGCACCCTCGTGGCACCAAGACCCAGCACTGGCTCCAGGGGAAAGGGGGCGGGGTCAGAGGACAAAGCCGTCAGCCACCGCCAGCTCTTCCAGGGCTGGGCAGGGCCACCCAGCTGGCCACCCTGCCTACTTCTGGCTCTAGCTTTGCCCACCCCACTCCTTCAGCAACAGCCCAGAGCTGAAGAGGCCTATTGTTGGGCCCTCGCAGAGTACCGGGTAAGGCAGAGGACAGCAGCAAAGCTGCACCAGAGCCGTGCACTGTGGAACGCTCACCGTGGAATGCTCACCATGCACCGTGGAACGCTCACCGTGCACTATGGAACGCTCACCGTGCACCGTGGAACGCTCACCGTACAGCGTGCACCGCCCACACCTTCAGACCAAAGCCCCAGCAACCCCAATGCGGGAGCGGGAGCCACTGCAGGCTTGAAGCCCCAGGAGAGTCTGGGAGTAGGAGAAGCATCCGGGTACTTCAAATCCCACTGCATCCTGCCTGTCTGATCACAGGCAAACTGAGATTCTGAATGGGCAAGGGATGTGTCTGGTCCAAAGCATGAAAGGAGTCTTCAGGGGTGGCTACCAAGAGAAGAGGTGAGGGAGAACGTAAGAGGCAGCGCCGGAAAAGAGGTGTTGGAGGGAAGGGCTAAAAATGCTCAAGGGCAAGGTTGTAACTAGTTAACCTGGTGTAAGAACTAACAGACCTCTTTTTTGTTTGTTTTTCTTTTTCAAAACAGGGTTTCTCTGTGTAGTTTTGATGCTTGTCCTGGATCTCGCTCTGTAGACCAGGCTGGCCTGGAACTCACAGAGATCTGCCTGGGAGTGCTGGGATTAAAGGCCACCACCAGGCTTAACAATACCTCTTGTCTACCTTCCCAACACAAGCCACCAGGTGACCGGCCTGCCCTCCACTACCTGGCAGAGTCCCTTCCCTCTCCACAGAGAAACACTGTACAGTATCCCAGGAGGCATTACTGACAACAGGGAGAACCCCATCTCCAACAAGGAGAGCACACAGAAA